TACGTCCTCACCTACACACAACACACAATGATGTTATGAACTGATACACTGTACACCCTGATCGACACACAACACACACGATGATACGTTATGAGCTGATACACTGTACACCCTGATCGACACACAACACACATGATGATACGTTATGAACTGACACACTGTACACCATGATCTAACACACAACACACACAATGCATACGTTTATGACTGACACACTGTACACCATGATCTACACACAACACACACGATGATACGTATATGAACTGATACACTGTACACCAATGATCTACACACAACACACACGATGATACGTTATGAACTGATACACTGTACACCATGATCTACACACAACACACACGATGATACATTATGAACTGATACACTGTACACCATGATCTACACACAACACACACGATGATACGTTATGAACTGATACACTGTACACCATGATCTACACACAACACACACGATGATACGTTTATGAACTGATACACTGTACACCATGATCTACCACCCAACACACACAATGATACGTTATGAACTGATACACTGTACACCATGATCTACACACAACACACACAATGATACGTTATGAACTGATACACTGTACACCATGAATTACACACAACACACACGATGATACGTTATGAACTGATACACTGTACACCATGATACGTCATGAACTGATACACTGTACACCATGATCTACACACAACACACACAATGATACGTTATGAACTGATACACTGTACACCCTGATCTACACACAACACACACAATGATACGTTATGAACTGATACACTGTACACCCTGATCTCCACACAACCACCGATAATACGTTATGAACTGATACACTGTACACCATGATCTACACACAACACACACAATGATACGTTATGAACTGATACACTGTACACCCTGATCTACACACAACACACACAATGATACGTTATATGAACTGATACACTAGTACACCCTGATCTCCACACAACACACACGATGATACGTTATGAACTGATACACTGTACACCATGATCTACACACAACACACACAATGATAGGTTATGAACTGACACACTGTACACCATGATCTACACCCAACACACACGATGATACGTTATGAACTGATACACTGTACACCATGATCTCCACACAACACACGATGATACGTTATGAACTGATACACTGTACACCATGATCTACACACAACACACAATGATACGTTATGAACTGATACACTGTACACCATGATCTACACACAACACACAATGATGCGTTATGAACTGACACACTGTACACCTATGACCTACACACAACACACACAATGAGAACGTTATGAACTGAACCACTGTACACCGGCTGAATCTACACACCAACACACACAATGATTACGTTATGAACTGATACACTGCTAACACGCTGACGCTACACACAACACACACACGATGCATATGTTAGTGAACTGATTACACTGTACATCATGATCTACACACAACACACACGATGATAGGATAATGTATGATGAACTGATACAGTGTATGTCAGTGAGAAAATAAATACACGGGGGCTCAGGGCAATTGTACGGCCCCCCGAAAGCCCAAAAAAGAGCCCCGGAAATGCAAAAAAGAGGCCCGGATATTTGGATAGGAGCTTCAATTGCCAAAACCAAATTTTAGAGTGCTATTTTCATGCCACTAACTTGAAAAGTAGCCCCCGAAAAATAAATTTTAATTTTTTCCCTGGTGTATGTCCTCATCCACACACAGCACACACGGAGATACGATAAAATCTATGATGAAAACGCTACAATGTACACGCCTGCGAGCCTACACACTCCATTACTCTATACTAACATACTCCAAGCTCAATCTAGGGTCTATGTCCCCCAGGGTACTGGCAGAACGCTCTGCCCTGTAGTTACGGGTCCGGGTATCTACCGGAACGTACCCTGGTCACTATTGATAATGGTTAGCGGTTAGGGGTTAGGCGTTAGAGGGTAGGGTTGGGGAGTAGGCGTAGGTGACTCCCTAGACCTCGTTTAGTGGAGTAGGCGAGGCTACGGTCCGGCATCATTAGATCAGTACACAGGTACGTTTCGCGCGGCAGTACCCCGGGGGACATAGACCCTCTCAGCCATACTCCACCCACCTCCACTCCTGTTACAGCTACACTGCTGCTACGTATTGCACCACCCACCTGTCCGAACCTGGTGCGTGCCTCCTCAAAGCCACACACCTGCAGGCGCTTCTTGACAAAGTCGAGAGGCTGCACTGCCAGCTTCGCCGACATGCCGGACGCCGAGCCACACACGATGCGCTCCACCATCGCTGAAACACGAGTCGCATGTCAGCGTTGCATGTCGAAACACGAGTCGCATGTCAGCGTCGCATGCCGAAACACGAGTCGCATGTCAGCGTTGCGTGTCGAAACACGAATTGCATGTCAACGCTGCATGTCAAAATATGCAGAGCATGTCGGCGCTGCATGCCAAAGACAAATTGCATGTTTGCGTTGCACGATGGGAAAACACGATTGCACGTCAGCATTGCATGCAGAAACACAGAATTTCAATCTTGGTCATGTTCATAACTACCCTCTACCCGCGCGATCATCAGCATGTAGAGATTTCATTAAAGACAAATTCATCAGAATCATAATCCGGATTTACTTTCTTACGATCTCGGTAATAAATCCCCATACGCGGCTTAGTTCTCAGACTCTCAGTAAATTCTAAGTTTTGTCTGCACGCCACCACGCGATGCCACGCCACGCTGCTACGCCCCCCTCCCTCCCTCGCTAGTCTCACTCACTGCTTCCATTCACGCTGCTACGCCTCCCTCCCTCCCCTCGCTAGTCTCACTCACTGCTTCCATTCACGCTGCTACGCCCCCCTCCCTAACTCGCTAGTCTGAACCTCACGTGCTTCCCATTGCATGCTGGCTACGCTCGCCTCCCTCCTCGCCTCGCTACGTGCTCAACTCACGTGCTCATCAGCTGCTACGCCCCTTCCTCCGCTCGCTAGCTCACTACTGGCTTCCATTCACGCTGGTCGCCAACTTTGAGTCGGACAGTGTGCGGTGGCCTCCCGATCGATCGGGATCGGGTCGGATAGTGTGCGGGGCGTTAGTGCTGTGCACAGTGCAAAATCGGATAGTGTGCGGCTAGCATTATAGTCAAACTTTCACTATCAGCTCTCACTCCAACTGTACATTCCACTACAAGTAAATATTTGTCAACTTCACGTATCTATTTTTCCCTTGTAATAATGCCAGTGTACCGTGCTTACGCACATGCACGCGTTTACTTTCCACCAAGGTGAAGGTTGAATTTGAACATGCTACTAGACAGATTACATACATGTGCAAACAAAACTGGTTCGTGCATCTAAAAAGTGCTGTTTGGATGAGTTTTTCATGACTGAATTTCACCGCAAAAACAGGTCTCACAAAAAACGAATGAATGAATAAATTAACTAGGGTACACTTACAAACAGAACTCAACTCTCTCTCAATCGCTCCGTTTCTCTTTCTATCCATCTCTCTTCTCTCTATCTCTATCTCTCTCTCACTCTCTCTCTCCCTCTCTGTGTGTGTGTGTGTCTCTCTCTCTATCTATCTCTGCTCTCTCTCGCTCTCATCCTCTCTCTCTCTCTACCTATCTATCTTGCCTTCCTTCACCCAGAGGTATCCACCACAGGGCATGCAATTAAGATTTTTTGCACTGGCCCAGAGGGCTGGTAACAGCAATTTTTTACCAGCCCTCACAAATTTTGTTTGAAAATCAATGTCATGTTTCACGCTTGCATGCTCGATTTCAAATTTGTAAAATGTTGATAAACTATGGCATGATATCCTTCAGGTAAAACAGTAATATAGGCTATTATATATTAATATAGGCTATAATATATGCTATAAATAAAAATGTAGGTACTCGCTAACACGGCTGAAACCACCGGCTCGGAGGGCCGGTGTTTTGCCAATGTTACTGGCCCTCCAAATAATTTGACGGCATATGCCGGTGGGCCGGTGCTAATTTCGCGCCCTGCACCACATCCTTTTCCATGCACCACGACCTTGCTCTCCCTAACCGTCGCAACACCAAGCGATCCCCCACCCCTTGTGGGAAGTCTCCTCTTCCTCTATCCCTATCTCCTCTCTCTCTATCACCTCTCCCTCTATCTATATCTCCTCTCCCTCTATCCCTATCTCCTCTCTCTCTCTCTATCACCTCTCCCTCTATCTCTACCTTTTCTCCCTCTATCTCTACCTCCTCTCCCTCTATCCCTATCTCCTCTCCCTCTTTCTCTATCTCCTCTCTCTCTCTATCTACCTCTTCTCCTCTCTCTCTCTATCACATCTCCCTCTATCTATATCTCCTCTCCCTCTATCCCTATCTCCTCTCTCTCTCTCTATCACCTCTCCCTCTATCTCTACCTCTTCTCCCTCTATCTCTACCTCCTCTCCCTCTATCTCTATCACCTCTCCCTCTATCTCTATCTCCTCTCCCTCTATCTCTACCTCTTCTCCTCTCTCTCTCTATCACATCTCCCTCTATCTATATCTCCTCTCCCTCTCTCTCTATC